AAAAGGATTTTTCTCGCCGGTGTACTGGCATGGAATCCCCACCCACCCCTCGTCCTCACTTTCACCGGCAAGGAATCCCCCCCACCCCCACCCCGGCCCTCTATTTCCATCGTCCTGCGTAGCTCCGGCTCTGATTCTGACCCCGATTCTACTTCCCCTGGCTCTTATCATGAACAGATGTGATGTTTGGTGATCAACAAAGATCTCACACATCCTGCGACAAAATATTTATAAGCTTCTAACCCTGTGTAGCTTTTCAGTTCTTGGTTGGTGTAGGATGATGTCAAATGAATTAAGTATTTGTAAATATCTGGATACTAAAGGTTGTGCACAGAGCGAGCGTTGATTAGACTGACAAAACTCTCCGTTGGAATTAGATCGAGATCTATTCCACAACCCAGAAAGATGACTTTAACTTTATCCCTTTCTAATGACGGTGTGGTATAGGATTTTGACCCTGTGGTGAGGTGACCCCGGGGTCAACATACCATATAGTATTTTGACCCTGGGGTCAGAATCCTTTTATGGTATATTGACCCCGCCTCTAGAATATTGACCCCCCTCTATGAAAATCTATATTTTATTAATAAAGAACTTGAATTCTATAGAAAAACTTTGAATATTAATACTATATCTGCAAATAAAAACATATTGACATATTTAAAAGTGTTTTTGAAGAACTCAGATGCATTTTATGTCGATTATAACTTTTGAATGTTAAAAATGGCTCAGTTGTTTAAACACATATTTTACTGAAAATGAGATAAGTAGTTATTAATTAGTTTGGTAATCAAAGTGATGTGTAATGATTTGGAATCTTGTTAAAATAGACAGGGCTGATCAATCGAGTAGTTAAATAGGGGATACTTATGACTATAGTGATCTGACCCCCCAATATGTTTATTATAACTCAACATTACTAAATTCAAGGTTGTTATCCTTACAAACTATTGCCTAAATTGACATTATGATTAAGGATGATCTGAACATAGCAAACTAAAAACCATAACAATGTAAAATACAATATAAAAAGTGACAAGATTGCTGTGTATATGCAATTTTAACGATACGTTACATTTACACAAAATACCAAGTCGTTCTCCATCAAAACATTCCTTAAAATACCTTAAAAGAAAGTGAATATGTAGCAATATATAATACAAGTAAATTACATGAGAAATAATGATCATATAAGTAACTACAAAAAAAAAAGTAAGGGGAGTCAAAATCCTACAGGGGGGTCACTTTACTATAGCGGTATGTTGACCCCGGGGTCAAAATTCTATCTCACAGCGACTGATCTAACGAGCTGGTGATTTCAGACACTTTTATGTTGTTTGCGCTGTTTAAAGTAGCCATGATTATATTGTAATAAACTGAATTATCTCAATCTTGGCCTCCAGTGTGGCCGCCAAAACATTAAATCTGGTGATGGGCGAATGGAGCAATATTGTCTCAAATGGTTCGACGTGTCTGAGGCCTCGGAGAAACCCTGACCTCTAGTGGACAAATTTAACCCTTGGCACGCAGGTGTCTGAGCATTGATGAAGTATTGTTAGTGTAAGACAATACTTGTGTGCAGAGCAACATCGTACTCAACAACAACAATAATAATGATGATTTAAAATAATATGTAAAGAGCAACATAAATAGCAGCTGTAAATAAGAAAATAGGTGTTACCTTGTTAGGTTGAATTAGATCAAAGTGATCCCAAACCATGGATCGCTTTTTTCCACTTGTAGATGCCATTGAAAATGAAACAAATGCCAAAAATCACCACTAACATCACACAATACTCCTCACTACCCAACATTTTTAAGAAATATTGGTGCATTTTTTATATTGTAGCAGTTTAGCGCTTGTCAAACCACAGAAATGCGCCGAACACTCTGAAGCACTCTGAGCCAATGAAACACTTCGATACACTGAAGCGATTGACACGCAGAGAGAAGCAGTAGGGAGAGGGACCGACACTTCGACACTTTGGTTCAAGTGAGCGGCTGCTGCGAGACGAGCTCCGAGGCAGTGCTTCGGAGCAATTTGTTTCAGAAAGAACGAGACGTTCTCCGGAGCTCCGTATCATTTGCCCATCACTAATTAAATCACATGACTGCCACCTCACACGCAAATCCTTAATACAATAGTGTATTATGGGCCCATTAATGACATACTGCGGAGCATTCCTGGCAAACCAATAACATTTCCAAGCAGACAGGCGGCCAGTCCTCCTCCAGAGAGTATCCAGATTTTCGCCACTTCTCGGTTTTTAACTTAATTCACTGAACTAATTTAGTGGCGTAATCTAACCAACTCTCATTCTCACACACTTTCTCTAATCCTAATAAATATTTCATAATCACATCTGTTTTCCACCAATTATCTTCGTATTATAACCAAACAAATTCCATCAAAAACACAAACAAAAAAAACGCCCAACTGTCTCTTTATTTGTTGTTATTTATAGCCGGGTTGTTTAAATTTTCAGCGATGCGTCTGTTCCCACCGGCCCCTCCACAGATCCCAGACCAGCGCCGCTTCAGATCTGAGCAATATTCCGACTAAGTTTAGACCCTAGATGGGGTTTTTTTCTGCGTCACTACCTCTCAAGACGCTTCCCAGCCCTCATTTTTCTCTTCTTATTCGATGGATATGAGCAAAGAATTCCACACAGCGATGCTCTGGCTCCAGGCTGTGTCCGATTGCTATGTTCCACTTAACCTCCTCGCCTCGCGGGTTCAGCACTAGGTTCAGTCTTGCATCATGGTCCAATCTTCCGCTTTACCGGTGGATTGGATAATAAAGTGTAATATATGCGTTGGATGTAAAGGCTAGAGGGTTGAACAGCTGCAGGGAGAGTTGTAATAGCAGCCGGAGAAGTTGGAGAAATACAAAGGTTGGATGTTGTGTGGTGAGGCAGGTGGTGCAATGGGGTAATGTTAGGATTTTTAAGGAGTATTAAAAGTGTATTGTTTTTCTAATTCAATATTGGTAAAAAGTCAAGGACATTTTTCTGTGTAAAGTCTGGAAATTTTGAAAAAGGTTGAAACTTTCCACTTTATTAAATAGAGTTTGGTAGTGGTACTGGTAGTAGTAGAAGAGTTTGAGATTTGTGATTTTTGATTAGATTTTTTGGTTTTATAGACGTGTACTTATTTGCTCGTAGGGTTGTCAAAAGTATTGAAAATCAAATATTAATCAATACCAGAACTGATATCGAAACAGATCCTCATTTGAGCAGGTATTTATTAGGGATGGGAATTCGATTAAATTTTCTTAATCGATTGTTGGGAGAATTAACGATCGATTTTCAATTAATTATTAATGTTTTTATATTAAAATGATCATCATTATTATTACTAATCTGCATAAATAAACAAAACTTTACAACATATAAACCATAACCACTATAGAGCACGTTTGAGATTATAATGTGTTTAATGCAGCTTTGGCACATTTGTTTACATTTTACACAAACAAAACTTAAACCCGTATGCCTCATTTGCATAAACTAAAAGTGCTGCTCTTAGCTCCTAGCGCAGCTCTTTATTTAACAGTCATTTTACTCACGTTGTTGGTCACTATTTATTTTTGCTACTGTTGTGATGAAAAGACTGAAAAGACTCTTTTGAACTCATGCACTTTATGTTGCAGTAACCGGGCTACTGTGTGTACATGCACCATGACGGGACACTGATGTGCATGTAAACACACTCACTGAGTGGTACAGTGTCTCTGAGGAGGAGCCAGAGCCCAAACGTGGGATTGTGAGGCCGCAACTCCAGTGTTTGTGCTGTCAGACGCAGCCTTGTTTCCTTACGCTACTCACAGCAACCTACATTCAGTTTGTCAAATAAGAATGAACATGATCGATGAAATTCTTAACAATCAATTATCGATTAATCAACAAATCATGCCTATCCCTAGTATAGATACTAAAAAAGTCCCATTAACAGGACAGAAATGAGCCTTTCCTGAATAATTTTAGAATGATCTTGAGCTATATCAGAACAAGTATGCTCCATTGCATGCATCTAAGTACTCTACTAGACAGTAAAGGCCTTTTAAGATGAAAAAATTACATTAAGCCCTTCCTCACCTGACCTAAAATCTACTGAGAACTTTTAGGCCCTTCTTAAATGGGTGATTTACAGTGAATAGTGTTGTTGTAGGCTGTGGTTGTTTCTGCACAAAAGTTAATTGTCAACAGATCAACAAACTGACAGACTCCTGGAAAATGTTCATTTTTCATTTAGTTGTGTAATAATTCTGCATGTTAATAGTTGCCCAATAATTGTGCACACATAGATTTTTTCCTAAGAAAGCTAAAACTTCACTTTTACTTTCTTAAATATTCAGTTTTAAAGTTTATTAACATTTTGGATTGACCCAGAGGACTGTATTATAAAATTAATTCTTATAAATACAACTTGCCTAATAATTATGCACACAGTGTAATTCTAAAACTGATATTCTGTTGTCTAAATAAAGAGTGTTTTTATTGTCATTGTAGCATCGAAATTGTTTGAAATTTTAGTATCATGACAGCACTACCTACAAGTTATTGCAAACTTCCTTCCAAATGAAATCTTATAAAAAGAATGATCGCACAATAGCACTGGATCCTATGAATACAAATCTTTGTCAACAACTTCCAGGTATTTCAAAGTATGTATGTAGGGATTAAAATATATATAATCCATAATCATTTCTTATCTGTGTCCATAGATACGGGGAAAAACAAACATAAGTGTTGATTTGACAGATAACAATTGAGTTTAAAGTTAATTTAATACAGAAATGCCTGGTCTGTTGATGGTATTTTTGTGTATTTAGGTGTTTCCATGACGTTCCATAACCTTCTTAAACAAACACTAGTTGGAATTTTAACATTATAAAACCGAAAAGTCTGCCGAAGATGAACCAAGATACTCTATTCACTGTAATATTGTTGTGTGCTGTGGTATATATAGCATCTTATGTTGTTTTTGTGTGTTTCCAGGCTCAGATTTCCAGTGCACCACTCACATCATGCCGGTGAAGAATGAGGAGGGCATAGTCATGATGTTCATTCTGAATTTCGAATATGTGGTGGACGAAGGAAGTGACAACTCCACAGAGAGGCTAAGCCCCACGTCGCCCACCAAGTCCGACCAGAGTGAGTATAACAGATTTAATTTAAAGGTCATCAAAAACATACTCAGAGTTGTGTTTTTTTTCATTCACACATTGAGTAATCCTGGTTTATATTAGTCTGTCTACATCTCTAAAACTCAAAATGCCCTGCTTCACCTTGTGATGTCATTTAGTGGTAGTTTTCAAATCAACAGCTACCTTTTAGAGTTTGCCAATAGAGCCCTGCACTCCTGTGGGACCTGACACAAAACAGTGCGGCGCGGGACACATTTTGAAAGCTCATTGTGGGCACGGACAGGATCGGGCAGGTGGGATGATAACCTGCAGTCCCGCAAACTAAATTTGAGTGCAAAGTAAAATATACAAATGATTAATGTATGCCTATCATACATAATTTGAGCTGGATATTTTATTTGGAATTAATAAAATCATTATAAGCAGCCTAAATTTGCGGATGTGGCCTAATCTCGCAAACATTTTCCGCTTCTCCGTGTTTGATAGAGCTTAAGAAAGCGAACATCCCCATCTTGCGGGATTTGCAGGCGGGACTGGAACAAAATATCGCAAATGTGGGCAGGAACGGGATGAAATTTACAATTCTTTGCGGGCGCGGGCAGGAGCGGGACTGAAAAGTCTGTCCTGCGCAGACCTTTAATTGGCAATTCCAGGGCTGAAATCCTCCAAATGATTCTAGTGAAGGTGTATGCAGTTTTGAAACACCATGAAGCACTTCCTGTATTACCGCATGACATCATAAGGTAGAGCAGTGTTTTCTGTTTGAGAGAGGTGTGTGTTTAACGTGTGTGAATGAAACAAAACACAACTCCAGGTCTGTTCAACATTCTAACATGACTTAAATCTCACAAGAGTCAAATCTGTGTAATATAGGACCTTTAAATACCTAAAAAATACTTAAATATGTAGAGATCTTGGAGTAGATTCTTTAGAAGAGAGTAAAAGTTAGCGCTCGTCTCACATCAGATGTATTGTATTGCTGTTGTATTGTTACTCCTCCTCACCATCAGGCTCGTGGAGTTCTGGACAGAGAGGAGATGCAGAGCTGCTAAAATGGATACTCTGATTTCAGCAATGATGCACTCACTCGGGGGACTTTGTTTGTCTATGTTATGTGATACACCTGCTGTCGAGTTTAATTTTGTTTGATTTAGGGATGTCACAATATCACATTTGAAAGAGAGAGAGAGTAAACATTGCAGTTTTACAATTATTTACAATTATCAGCATTATGACAGCGGGGAAATCTTACATTTTCATTCACACATCACTATTCCTACAGTATGTGGCTATAATTATAATAACTTTCTAAATAATAATAATACATCTGTTTTATCTTGCACTTTTCACTCTAACACAAAGACTAAAACAAGGACAGGACAGATAAAAACAGTAATGAGGAGCAGTCATGTGTGGAAAAGGTGTGTTTTGAGCAGTTTTTTGAAGGTGTTTAGTCAGTCTGAGTTTCTGATGTGAAGGTAAAGGCAGTTCCAGAGGGTTGGGGGTGGGGTGGCCATGGCAAAGGCTCGGTTCCCCAAGGATTGGTGCTTTGATTTGCCTGTGGGAGTGAGAAGGTTAGAGGTGGGGCTGGACAAGGTCGGTGAGGTATGGAGGGGCCTGATTATGGAGTGTTTGTGGTTCAGTGGATTTCATGTCACATAAGCAAACAGTTAAAAGCACTTTACATTTTGGTTTAAATTAAAGTTGTTTTTTCTTTTCTCTGAATTAATTAATTCAAAATTTCTGACGTGTTACTTATTAATAATGTTAAAATCTTGCTATTCATATGCTGAATTTATAACCCTCAGTCATAATGTTTTAACCTTAAAGGGACAGTTTTGAATTTTGGACATTTTGGACATTTTGGCCTCATTTCCTAGTTAGCGTTAGAGTGTTTAAGACGTGTGGAGACACTTTTTAAAATATTCCATCCAGTCCTTGTATTTGCAGAGGTCGCTGGTGCTAGGCTAGTGCATGTCAATGGCCATAGTTATCCTGCCGCTAAAAACAGTCTTACGCACTCCACAAAACACCCGAAAGCAAATCTATTATTACTTCAGACTGTCGATGTAAATGTCTGTGTTGATATAATAATTTTAGAAGTAAAACCAACCTTGCATTTAAAGGATTTATGTCTGAGGAGCAGCATTGAATTGTACTTCCTGATAGAAAGGTTGGCAGCGGCGGACTGATATATGAGAAAATAGTCACTCAACATGTGACGATTCATGCGATGCAAGGTTAGTTTTATTTCAAACATTATTCTATCAACACAGACATTTACATCAACAGTCTGGTGTAATAACAGTTTTGCTTCGGGTGTTTTGTGGAGTGGGTAAGACTGTTTTTAGTGGCAGGATAACTATGGCCATTGACATGCACTAGTCTAGCACCAGCGACCTCTGCAAATACAAGGACTGGATGGAATATTTTAAAAAAGTGTCTCCACACGTCTCCAACACTCTGGCTCACAAGGAAATGAGGTCCTGTGTCCAAAATACTGAACTGTCCCTTAAACATTGTCTTGAAAAGTAAAATTATGATAAACAGAACATACAGTCTTAATTTCAGTTACAACTACATTATTTATTTGTGCGTACATTTGCTTTTTGTCTTTAATATTTGTAATAGTAGTAGTTTGCCATTTTAGCCTGGTATAATGTTCCAAATCCAAATTTCTCACCACCACAACTATGTTTGTTAGTAATTTCTCTAAAGGTAAAGTGATTGGTATAGTGTTTTGTTTGTGAGCATACATACAACAAAAATGTCTACTCAATTTCAGGGATTTAATACACTTGGGGGAAGCTAAAATGAATATTATTAAAATGCAGATGTCTGTTGTTATACAGGGTCTATTAGCTAATAGAAATTGAGAATTCAGGTTCAGTGTTTGCGGATTTTTAAAGCTATTTCCATTAAGAATACCTTGTAATCGATAGGAAAAACTGTCTCTTGTTGTCTTGTAGTACATTCCAGAAAATAAAACCACCAATAACGTCTCAGCCCCCACATCGCTCATTTGAATCCAAAAAGCCTAGCACTCAAATTAATCCCAAATTAGCTTTCCAATCCACACCCAAACCACTGAAACACACACTTTCAGTTGTTCCAATAAAACAAGGAGAGCCCTAGTTATAGCCATTCGCGCATAATTATTTTCATGAGCGATGAGTAATAAACTGGCTATAATGAGTGTACACCTTGGGGCTGAAATCCACCTAAAAGAAACTGCTATTTGTCAGGTTGTGTTTAGTGACGGCGTGAACCTGCCTCAAACAGAGACAGTCGGAGTGGAAGAGTGTAATTGAGATAATTTAGTGAAATGGCCCTGTGGATCTGCTATCCTAATTAAGCACCAGGGAATGTGATTGGACTGTCTGTGTGACCTACAAACAAGCCCATGTTAGTGCCATGATGGGCCAAGCAACACAACAGAGATATATGCAGGTCACTATAAACCAGAAATGTATTATTTATTATACCAGTGGTGTAGTGGGATTTTTTAAGTGGGGGTACGTGACTCATAATGTCACCAGTGTGATGAACGATCGAACAACAGGTCTAAACCAGGTCTAAACCAAGACTAAAACAGGACTAAACCAGGACTAAACACCAAGTCTAAACCAGGGCTTAACCAGGACTAAACCAGGTCTACACCAGGTCTAAACCAGGTCTAAACCAAGACTAAAACAGGACTAAAACAGGTCTAAACCAGGTCTAAACTAACACTAAACAGGGTCTAAACTAGGTCTAAACCAGGTCTAATCCAGGACTAAACCAGAACTAAACCAGGTCTAAACCAGGTCTAAACCAGGACTAAACCAGGACTAAACCAGGACTAAACCAGGTCTAAACCAGGACTAAACCAGGTCTAAACCAGGTCTAAACCAGGACTACACCAGGCCTAAACCAGGTCTAAACAAAGTCAAACCAGGTTTAAACTATGTTTAAACCAGGACTACACCAGGACTAAACCAGGACTAAACCAGGTCTAAACCAGGACTAAACCTGGTCTAAACCAGGACTAAACCTGGTCTAAACCAGGACTAAACCAGGACTTCACCGGGTCTAAACTAGGTCTAAACTAGGTCTAAACCAGGACTACACCGGGTCTAAACCAGGACTGAACCAGGACTAAATCAGGTCTAAACCAGATCTAAACCAGGACTAATCTTGGACTTGAGAGTGAGAGGTGTAAAAGTGCGATCGGGCGATGGCTGTGCTGAGCCCCATGGGGCGTGGAGCTTTGCACCAGTCCTTTCCCTGCGGTCACCCGACAGTTTCCCATCCCGACACTCAGTCCTGGTTCAGTCCTGGTTCAGTCCTGGTTTAGTCCTGGGTTCAGTCCTGGTACATCATGTCTCAGTTCAATATATGACAGTAGTGGAGATATCATGAGTTGTTTTCGCCATTGCCAATAGCTCCGGTTTGACATTTAAGTTGTAGCTATTTTATATTTGTTTGTTTTTTTTATATCTCTCATCGGGAGAAGTGGCCACGTGCACTACACCCCTGTATAGTACCAAGGAATATGACCAAAAAAATTTACAAATTTACAAATTTTTTTCCATCAGTGTGCTGGAAAAACTAATCTAGCATGAATTAAAACGTGCTGTGATGGAAATGTTAATGCTGTTTCAAGTAAGTTTGACTATCACAGATTTATTTACTGTTAAAAACTAGATTATAACATTTTTTGTATGCCCTTTGTTAAAGATCTTTGGTTTGAAAATGAACAATATACATAGAAATACTCTTTAAGTCTTTAATCCTGTATTTTTCAACCTTTTTTGAGTCGCACCTTTGTGGTTGAGAAAATTCTGATCAGATCACACCGTTTAGAAAAAAGGTTGCAGAAATGTGTCTGTGTCTGGTTCTTTGGCTTTGGGAATAGTGGTGGCTGTGCTTTTTTTCTGATGCTGAAATTTGCCTCGGAGACTCCAGAAATGTAAATGACTCTACAAATCATGTGAAAATCTGTTAACTGAAAAGATGATTAGACTA